TGCTCCTTTTGGTTATTTCCAGTTCTAGTTCTACATGTATTAGATGGTGATGGGGGGGGGGGAAGGGGAGAAGGGCATCGGAGCAAAGTTAAATCAGTTCTTCTAGAATTGGTATTAGGTGCTTTCTGTGCAGCAACAGAATTGCTGTTCTGCTCTCTTTTCAAAACCAAGCATCCTTATTCACACCCATAACTAGTAAAAGTTAAACTTTACATATACAACTATAAGCAGCAGCAGATACAGTTTACAAAGGACCTGCTGCTTCCCTACATGAATGTGTCCCCTCTTGGCAAAAGATATAGTTTTTATAAGAAAGGTTATATGAGAACTCTCTGTAGCCTCCGCTCATTGCAGACACAGCAGCTTTAAGATGTGCTGTAAAATCAAGCAAGTATGCATTGGAAACACAAAAGAACCACGAAATGGAGGAAGTGACATTGGAGCAGCCTTAAGTGTTCCATCAGGTGTGAGTTCATCACTTGCCTGAATTAAATCAACTTACATGTAGGTGAAGATGTATGTTACCGAAACCTCAATACCAGTGCCTTCTGACATACCGAAGGATGTGCGAGACACAAACGTAATGAACAAAAAAGAAGGGAACAGCATTCTTAAACTAACCCTGTAACAAACACCCAGGAACCAAAACAGATTCAAAAACAAAAGAGGCAGCCTGACCGATTAAAATTGGCCCCCTGCTACTTAATTATATCTAGATCTAATTGCCATAAGGCAAATATGGAGCAGATTTTGTATGAGACCTGCATAGGCAATTAAGACCAACGAAAGTCAACAAATACAAAGCATTTTAACATTCATGCATTCCTTACCACCAAACCTGGAAATATTTACAAGGGAAAGGAAATTACAGGTTTTTGTAGTGAAGAATTACCATCCTTCCCATCAACACCCAGTGCTGAAGCTTCCAAGTGTCTTGAGGCACAACGGCTGTGCTTTGTATCTGAGGCTTTATCAGGACTCACCCAGAGAAAAGGAATGAAATCATACGTCTCCTTTGCTCTTCCAACAATAATGGGGAGCAAAAGGAAATATAACATGGGAGCTGACCTGATTTCAACCACTGTTATGTCTTTGTTCCTTCTTGGGCATCCTGTGGACTTTTAGCAAATACTTTTGATTTCATCCCCTCCCCCCCTCCCCGGTCTTTCCCCACCGCTACCATGGTACCACGTTTTCTTATGGTCCTGTGCTTTCATACCTGTGAAATAATAGAGGATGATAAAGTGACTTATGTGTCACTCTAGCACCATCTGTGCACAGCAGATGCAAAAGTAGGTATCCGTTTTTAACAGCAATATTTCTATCAAATTTTAATATGGTTGGTGGAAAAGGACCTGATGTGGAGAAATGTGTTAAGAATCATGAATCTTCAAATGAAACCAGAGTTGTCACAAAATTCGGCGATGTCCTTAAATTGGGACTAGGAGTCCCTCCCCCCATCCCTTTAATGCATTCTTTTCTGCTGTATGGAAGGAGTACAAAGATTAAAAAGCACAAACTCTACTCTTTTCCCCTAATTGCACTGTACAATCCATGGTGCTCTTCAACAACAGGTTCACTGCTTATGAGAGAAAATTATCACTGATGTCCTTTTCTAAAAAAGAAAGGTGCATTTTTATTATATGCTGGGAAATGGTCCATCTATTCAAAGGTGCAGGTTAGAGCGCTGTACAGTGGGGCCAGGTCACCAGCCCCTTTGCCTTTGCTCTTCTAGCCGAGCAGATAAAGCCACTTTGCCAAGTCAATCAATTGATCCACCTAGCTGATTTTCGTCTTTCACTGTGCAGGGCTCATACTTATTGGGCAGAGGTGCTTTACAGTTTATTTATTTATTGGATTTTTACCCTGCCCTTCCAGCCAAAGCCAGCTTAGAGCGGCCTACGTAAAATCAATACAAAATTTACAATAAAATGTGACTAATTTGAATTAAAACAATTCTAAAATCATTTAACTATACAACTCAATAAAGTGCTAATAACAATAATTCCCGATGGTTGTGATGACACAATACACTTTCTTATAGTTGGTTCCTTGATCTTGTAGTTATCCTTCTGGCGACTGACACCAACTGTCATTAAACTTGTAATTCCTCGTCACCTGCCTGAGATTGCATGCACCAGTGTGGGAGGCAAGTGCACAGAGCATCTTCCCCAGTGTTGCTGCCATGAGGGATACCCTGGGGCAATGGCCAAACAGCCTCAGCCATCATTCAAGAAAGGAACTTGCCATCACCGTTCATCTGTAGCAATAGCAGCAGGGCCTGTTTATGTTGCAAAACACTTTTCCCCAGATCATCCCTGACGGCAACATTCCGGCTGCCTCGTGCATTCCTGGGAAGGCGGCGGGGTGAAGAAGAGTCCTAGAATTCGTGTGACAGAAGCAGAGAACTGGCTGGCACCTACCTGACTCAGACAAGCCAGGAATCAAAGGCAGTTCAGTGGCACGACTTGGCTTGGAGTCTTTCCAAGGCGGAACCCAGTGGCGGAATCGGGTCAAGGCCCAAAGCGTCCCCGCAGAAGGACCATTTTAGGCAGCGGATGTGATGTGGCTCATGCTCATTCGCTAGAAGGGGAGTGAGGTGTTGGAGCAGCTGCAATGCCAGTTAGGATTGCAACAAAGCACCCCTGCCCCGATCAATCCTAAAGCAACAGCCAAACAAAGAACCCACTTCATCAGGCCGCCGTACACAAAGGGGAGTGTGAAGACAGTGAGGATCACCAAGAGCATTAGAAGAAACAGCAGCCTCTTGGCGGCCACCCGGTCGCTGTGCTCTTCCCCTTGGCTGACAGGGAAAGCGCTACGAATCACCAGGGTCCCACTCAGAGCATCTTGAGAGAAGGGCATTTCTGCATTTGGGCCAGGATCAGCCAGGTACACGATGCCCACCTTATCGGGAAGGCTACAGATAAGCCCTCCGAAGACAGTGGTGACTTTCCGGCAGACGGGACAAGCAATTCTCCAGGCATTGTCTTCATTCCGCAACATCAGCTTCAGGCAGACTGCACAGAAGACGTGCTGGCAGGAGAGCACCTTGGGCGGCCTGCTCCAGCTGTACTGGTTAAAGCATACAAGGCAGTCCACGTCTGTGGTTGAGCTGTCGGAAGGCTGTCGGAAGTCTGCGTGATTGGCTGAACTATCAGAGCAACCCAAAGGAACCGGTATGGACAACAGTGATGTCTGGGAGGTCATGGCTTTCCTTCCTGTAACCAGTTGGGCCGAGGCGTTCAGGGCCTGCGGTTTCACATAAGACGCTGAGTGCTCTTCTTCAGAAGCCGGAGTCCCACATTCTACATTGCCCGTGTTTTTACCTTGGTCTTCAGAGGTGCTGGGTTTGTCCGCTCCTGACGTTTTTTCTTCAGCAGATTGACACGTGTTCATTTCCTCACCAGGGATTCCAGGGGAGACCACGTCCTGCCTCATGCTGCCAAAGCAAGCGGCTGTAGCAAACGGACCGTGCGCCAGCTGAGTTTGGCTCCACAGTAGCCACGGCAGGTTCCCCAGCTGCTTTTTATGACAGTCTTGTAA